AATTTCATGTCATTAGCACCTCTAGTAATATATTTACTGAGAGAAATGGTGACGTGTTCAATACTTATTTTACTCGCTGTGTATATATGACACACATGACTCTTAGTTTTATGTGATGAAAGGGGCTTCTACTGTAAAGATGTTAGCAAAAACCTATAATGAAAAGTTCCCAGACTGCTTATAGATTTATCTCTTGAGGAAATACAMATTTTTACATATGTATCACAACYTTGGCAATTTTCTCAGCTTTAATTGAAGCCATGTTTTATAGAAATCGGATAAGAAATGAGGGCGCTATGAATACTTTTGTGACAGATTGATGCGCATCCCGCATTGAAACTCTACAGTTTTCTTGACACGACAGTGCATAGCAATGGCACCTGTGACGGCGCGTGGCTAGCTATAGCGGCTATATGCGATGTCCAATCAGTGACATGGATCAGTGCTTCAGACGTCTTACAGGAACTCTGTGATGTTGTTTCCAGGGAGGTTGGGGATAACTGGGATCTAGCCATCCAAGAAGCCATCCTGGAGAAGTGCAGTGACAACGACGGCATCGTCCACATCGCAGTCGATAAGAACTCGCGGGAGGTAAGCTCCGCCCCCTCAGAGAGGTGTGTCTGGGTTTGTTGGCAGCAGCTGTTTGACTGCGCCTCCTGTCTCCTCAGGGTTGTGTTTACGTCAAGTGTCTGTCTCCGGAGCACTCGGGGAAAGCCTTCAAAGCTCTGCACGGCTCCTGGTTCGACGGTAAACAGACGTTTATCTAACGTACGGTTCAGCAGCGAGCTGGTGACAGGTGCTAATGCTGACTTCCTGTTTGGGTTTGGACAGGTAAGCTGGTGACGGTTAAATACCTGCGTCTGGACCGGTACCACCAGCGCTTCCCTCAGGCCCAGGCCTGCAGCGCTCCCCTGAAGGCTTCCAGCCTGCATCAGAACTCTGTCAGCTCTGGACCTTACCAACAGCAACACGAGTCTTCCAGCTGCTCGTGAGACCGCCGGACCGGACCGGACCGCTCGGGTCTACAACCTGCAGGACTTGTTTTTACGTGTCTCTTTCAACACTGCGAGTCTGAAAGAGAAGCTGTTGGGCGCCGCAGCGTTTGTTTTAAACATATAAAGTGTATATTTTACGTGTCATGGAAATAAAAGGTTGAGTATTTAATGTGTTTATAGAGCTTCTCTTCCTCAGTCCGTCTCAGTGCCATGGCTAAAATCACGCCGATTCTTTATTTTACTCTTCATATCCTTCTCCTTTAGTTACATGGAAGACTTTGTTTTTGTGATTTGAAGCACAAGTTTTCCTACAGCTTTATTAAAAACCAACTTTAAGCACATTTTCCTGCTTCTTTGTGTGACTCAGCAGTTTGTCTGCAGCTGGAGGATCAGGGAGATGTTTTGTGTGACTCAGCAGTCTTTGTGTTCTTCTGTTTGGTTTTATGACAGATTTCATCATGTCATCTGGGTTCTGGCCTGGTGGTTTCACTGCTCGGGTTCTCATCTATTTTGTTTTTTGACTAAATTCTACAAATAAGCTGACGGATGTTTTTTTTAATTTTATTTTTTTATCAAACCAAGAGTCGATGCTCGTTTTAATGCAGTGAATAAAATAAAAGTCACTGTTGCAGATTTTTTGCTTTTTACCAGCTGCAGGGACGTTTGCAGCAGATAATCCAACTGTGCCTTAAATTTATGCGCTTTTTAAAAWTTTTTTCCTCAACTGGCACTGAATTGGAGAATGTACCGGAGTTAGAAAGTTTAAAGGGTGAGGGGGGATCTAGTTAGTTGAAGAGTTTTTGGTATTTTGTAGCAGTTTCCTTTGATATTAAACCAAAACCTTCTATTTATTTTTCTTTTTAACGAAGGTTATGTGCTTATTTTAACGTCACCAGACCTGTTGTATAATTTTCAGTGTTTTTCATCAATGATTGACATTTGTAAGAACTGTCAGGATGTGTAAAACAAAATAAAGTGAACACTTGGAGAAAGTTAACTTCTCTGTAATTGTTTGCACTGAATGAGCTGGCGTTGGCCCCCTGAGGTGCCCCCAGTCCTGTCTCATCTATCCTTGACCTGGGAGTGTTGATAGCGAGTGCAGTTCCCTGTTCAAACACTAGAGGCGCTGATGAGTCATAGTAAAGTTAGTGATAATGGTGGCTGCAGTTCCATGTTCAAACACTAGAGGCGCTGATGAGTCATGGTAAAGTTAGTGATAATGGTGGGTGCAGTTCCCTGTTCAAACACTAGAGGCGCTGATGAGTCATGGTAAAGTTAGAGATAATGGTGAGTGCAGTTCCACGTTCAAACACTAGAGGTGCTGATGAGTCATGGTAAAGTTAGTGATAATGGTGAGTGCAGTTCCATGTTTAAACACTAAAGGCGCTGATGAGTCATGGTAAAGTTAGTGATAATGGTAGGTGCAGTTCCCTGTTCAAACACTAAAGGCGCTGATGAGTCATGGTAAAGTTAGTGATAATGGTGAGTGCAGTTCCATGTTCAAACACTAAAGGCGCTGATGAGTCATGGTAAAGTTAGTGATAATGGTGAGTGCAG